TTGGGGATCCAGCCCAATCCCCCGCCCTTCCGGGGCGTTATTTGATAAAAAAAAAAAAAAAAAAAAAATCATGCTTCAGAGTTAGACTTAGATATAAATTAATATTTTTATACAAAAAGTTGGTTTGGATTGCATTTTATGTCTATATTATTCACATTAAATCCTAATTGATCTTTTCCTTCTTTTCTTCTACAATGAGTTACCATAAACTATTTTAAGTTCCTTTTTACTAAATTACCATATATTACATTTTATTTTCTTATTTAATCAATACATCAATTAATATAAATGTTTATTCTTCTTATTTTTATATTTTATAACTTTTTTGGTTTGTATTTTATTTTTCATATATGATATATCAAGTTATTTATCTTTTAACGATCTTCGATTTGACATCCATATTACATAAATGAAATACAAAACAATAATGTATAACCTCAATAAATAAATTTAAAATTATTTATCAATTTAAATTAAAATATATCAAATAAAATTATATTTTATTTTACAAAGCAATATAAATTTGTGTGCATTAGTATACCATAATATAGCTATTTTATTTGGAAATAAATATCTAAACTAAGTATGAACATCAAATTAGTATAAAAAAATATTCTAAAAGTTTATGTCTCGACTTAATTAAAGTCTATTACATAGAAATTGAACATTATGATCGTGGAAAAAAAAGGTAAATAAACACTATAATAAAAATTATTAAAATAATTATTTTATTTCATAAAGTTTAAAATATTACACTCATAATAAACATTATAATTAAAATTATAAAATAATTATTTTATTTTATAAGTTTTAAAATATTACACTCACTCACGTTATATATTAAATTTTTTAATATTATCAAGTTGAAGACATTTTAAAAAAAATATTAGATCAAGGAAGAAAACTATATAAATATAAAATTTAATTATAATATAACCAAACTTGAAAAAAAAAAAAAAAATTAAATAAAAAATAAATTATTGAGTTATAGATGGGATGAAGAACCTTAACCCGACACTGCCTGAAAGCTTATCTTGTTCTTTTGCTGCTAATGGTAAATTCTCTGTTACCTCTCTCTACTCTTTTGAAGAATTTTATTTTTCACTTTTTGTTAGAAAAATAGTTTTTTATGGAACACCAGTGTAATTCACGGGCGTTGTACTAGTATTATATAAACAGAAGTATAACATTTGATAATAAAAACATGCATTTCAACAATATGAAGTGTGTGTTGACCTGCATAACAGTTAGTAGCCGCCTAACATTTCAATTTGTTAAAAAACAAAAAGGAAAAATGATAAAACTTACTTTGTAAAAGAAACTTGAAACGAAGATAAAGAAACTACAAAGAAAAGCCAACATTATTGTGACTAGTTTCATAAAAGCACCCATTCTCATTAATATTTAAGGGTGTGTTTGGTTCAATGGAGGGAAAGGGAGGGGAGGGATTTTAATGGAGGGAAAGGGAGGGCATGAGAGGTGATGTAAAATAATTTTACCTTGTTTGGAGGGATTTTGTTAGAGGGGAAGAGAGGGAAAATGATATACCTTGTTTGGTAAGAAAAATGAGAGAGGAGGGAAAATAATGTTAAAATGACAAATATACCCTTAATGATGTTATAAATAAAAACTTACAAATTATATAAGAAGGGTAAGATTATAATTTAACCCATTAAAATTTTCCCTCCCCTCCAAATTCCCCCACTTTTGGAGGAGAGCAAAAATGGGGAGGGGAGGAAATTTTAAGTTAAAATTTTCCTTCCCCTTCTGTCCCAAATTCTCAACCAAACAAGGGAAAAATAAAAAATGCCCTCCCCTCCCCTCCTTTTACCCCCAACCAAACAACCCGTTAGTGAACCGTATTCTTTATAAAATTAAAAAGATTAAGAAAATCAAGCAAATCAAATTCCAAGAGTTGTGCATAAAAAGATCTTTCTATCCCGCAAAGAGAATTAATGCATAGTTAATTTCACTTTATTCAATTCCACACAATCAAACACACACACACATACAAATACATTTGAATAAATTTAGGAGCAAGCCACCCAAAAATCGAAGAGTGTGAAATTGGCGAAACCGCCAACATAAGTGAAGCTAAAGGTTTCGCCTCCGTGCAACGGATTTCCATCATTGACCAAACAATGGGTGTCATCATACTTGGAAATAATTGAAGGGTCGATTTTAACTAAGGGGTTGAAATCAGGGCAAGACAATTTCAGCTCCAAACTCGTGCATACACACGTGTTTGTTATGTCAACCTTCCACTCGGATTTTCCTGTTTCGACTTCTTCAATCTTGAAGGTTTTTGCAGAGCATAATGAAGTCTGAGCCCAACATAAACCTGGGAGATTGCACAAATTGATGACAAAGAAAATCTTGAGTTTTATATGAGTTTGCAATAAATTGTGGAAAAAAAAANAAAAAAAAAAAAAAAAAAAAAAAACCCTATGTAGAATTGTTTAGTTACGTACCTTGGTTGAGGAAGCAAAAGAGGGCAATGAAGCATAAAGTTCTGGAGGTTTCTTGTCCCATGGAAATCATTTTGGCAGAAGAGAAAAATATATTGTATAAAATGTAGACTGATTTTCTTAGGGGGTATGGTATATAATGATTTTTTTTGTTGTTAGTATGGTTATTTTCTTTACAGAAGCTGTTCAGTATTTATAGAGAACACTTGACAAGTGAAGATTGCAGCTTTTTTGCTTGTTTCAACAATGTTGTATGTAAATCTCATTATAATAATAAAGTTTCAAGATTTTCAAATCTATATATATAAAAATAATAAGTATTTATTAAATATAGTAGGAAAATAATCTGAGGACATCTACTACATAGTTTATATGGAAACTTTTTAAATATATGAGATTTGTAGAAAGATAAATATGGATAAAAAAATATTCAAGTTTGACCGGATTTCGAAAATTTTCAAATGTTTTATTTGTTAAATGATTGGTCGAAAGTTAAGGAAATGATTTTCAAATGTTTTATTTGACCAAATTTACACATTTGACCGAAAAAAGTTAAGGAAATGATTGACTGGATTTTTTGAAAGCAATATTCTTAAGATTCTTTATTATTACTGGCCAAATTTACCGTAGCATTTAAAGAAATCATTATCCATATTTTTAGTAATTAAGGTTTACACAATATCTTTGACAAATAAGAATTTTTCTTTTTTTAAATTGAATACGCGCGAATTTTTATTCAACCGCCGTTTAAAAAAAATATACTGTAACTTTGAAAATTTTAAACGTGAATTTTAATACTATTAATTTCAAGTAAATCATTCTGTGTATTATATACTAATAGATAAGAATGGTTGAATGGAGATGATTCTATAGGTTAGAATCCTAAGAATTACGTGGACATGAATATATTTTTTGGTTATAACCGTGTATATATGAAAGGATATCTAGTTAATTAACTAAAAAAGTAAGTAGGATATCTTTTTAATTATATGGGAGAGATATATTTCCAAGAAATGTTCATAAAAATAAATATTATCCGCTAGAAACCTTGCACCGAATCATTCATGTATGTTCTCTCTTAATTGTTGTTGGAATAGATTTTGGTCCAAATAACATGTATCGATTTAAATGACTATATATTATAGGAGTATATAGATGGTTAAACAAATCATGGTATATATATTATGACAAATGAATATTTTTGTTTGGGAAAAATATCCTCAAATATATTTTACAATTATATTTTGGTTCGGCCATACTTGAATATTGAAATAATTATAATAATATTGCTTTCATAATTTTACCAAATACGATTTGGAGTTTTCAAAATCTAACTTATATTCTAATATTTTTATCCATAGTATTTATTTATAATAAAGAAAAAGGTCTTGGTCTCGGACATTTTATGGACTGTGTGCAATGGTATTATAGAAGTTGTTAAATTAAATAGCAATTCTAAATATCACTGGATATTTAGAACAATAAAATAATTTACGGGATTTCTATATGAAAAACTTTGATGATGTTCTTTTGGATTTTTTTATATTCGCAATTTTTATGATGGTATTAAAAGAATTGTTTGAATTTATAATCTTTAATCGCAACCCATTTACATGAATATATGTTATGATTTAGTTTGATAAGTTTGAAACGTGAATGACAAATAATTATTCAATGATGCATTATAAAATAAATTTTATTTCTTACTAAGTCAAATCAGATTATTATTTTTTTGTTCTTAGTGATCACTGTATTTTTCTGATTTTGAGGGTCATATCAAAGGAGAACCACATGACCGTAAAACAATGACAAGCTTGCACTTGGGGTGCATTATTTAATTAAAAAAAACAAAAATATGTGGCAAAAAATAAAAAATAAAAAAAAGTTGTGGAAATGTATAAAACAGCCGGATTTTCAGAATCCGTTCTTCTAATTAAATTTTTAATTGAAAAACGGATTCTCAAAATCCGTTTTTACTTTTGATTTTTTTTTTTATAAGATAACGGTCGAATTTAATAATAATAATACATCCACTGACTAAAACGGATTTTGAAAATCCGTTTTTCGTTTAAAAACGAGTAAAACGGATTTTGAAAATCCGTTTTTATGTTGATAAATATCACTCGAACCCAATTTCCTCTCCCATTTCTCCTCTCCCATTTCATTTTCTCCTCTCGTTTTTTGCTCGATTTTATTGCAAATTGAAGCTGCAATTAAAAAAAAAAAAAAATTTCCCATTTCATTTCTCCTCTCGTTTTTTGCTCGATTTTTTGGCGAATTGAAGTTGTTCCCGGGAAAAAAATAATTTTTCAACCAACGTCGAAGAAGAGGTTAGTTGTTATTTTAACATAATGTAATATTAATTTTTGGTTGTTTATGAATGTTTAAGAGATATAGTTGGTTAATTGAGTATTGTTTATAAAATCTTGAATGTTGTTTAATATATGTTTATGAATTTGGTTAATTGAATATTTATCCAAATTGTTTATGAATTTGATGTTATTGTTGGATTATGGTGATTAGGGTTTTTGTTGTGGCAATGTACTAAATTAATTGACAATTTTAATTTTTTTTTGTTGGATTAAAAATATGATTAATTATATGATGTTGTTGGATATGTGTTTTAAATGTAGATTGGTAAAATAATAATTGAAATTTTTCTCGGGTGTTTGATTAGTCATTTTAAATGTAGATTGGTGATTAGGGTTTTTGTGGTGTTTTTTATAAACTAATTGACAATTTTTTTTTGTTCGAGTAAAAATATAATTAATTATATGTTGTTGTTGGAAATGAGTTTTAAATGTAGATTGGTAAAATAATAATTGAAATTTTCTCGGGTGTTTGATTAGCCATTTTAAATGTAGATTGGTAAAATAATTAAATTTTTAAATGTAGATTGGTAAAATAATTGAATTTTTAAATGTAGATTGGTAAAATAATAATTGAAATTTTCTCGTGGTGTTTGATTTTTTTTTTTATGTTGTTGTAATTTGTAAAATATAATTTTTTTTTGCGTAACAGGTTATAAATGTCGTCTAACGGTCCATACTTTGTTAATGTGTACTGGAAAATTCCCCAGAGTGAGTTATGGAATTTTTCGAATTATATGTCTCGTCCAGATTGTTCATTTGTTATTAATGGAATAATATCATATCAACAATTGGTAGATATGATTTACGAAAATGGTGGGTTTCGTGATAGTTGGACAATTTCGGATATTACTTTGATGGCGAGACAACAGGATGGTTCGTTTATTACCGGAAGACTGCATAATGATAATTCTCTTTCGTGGATTTACTACTCTGCTCCTATGTCCTATGTGTTTTTGCATATAGTGTTGGAAGCAAACACACAGGTTACACAGGTTGAGGATCCTACGCCATCATATGGTTACGAAGGAATGTTTGGTGGTGAGGATACGTGGACTACGCATGCCGGTAATTTTGGTGAAGGGACGAGTAATTTCGGCGAAGGGACGAGTAATTTCGGCGAAGGAACGAGCTTTACCATGAGAGGACCGGACATTGAGGAAGAAATTGTTGGAGATGAAGATTTCATTCCCGGTGAAGACGATTTCACGGATGAGACCTCGGAAACCGAATCGGACAGATCAATTAATGAGGAGAGCGAACAAGAATTCATTGAAGAACACCCCTTTCCAAATGAAGGCCTCTACGATTATCGCGAGATGGGTGAGTGGGACTCGTCGTGTGTAGACAGGGACGAGTATGCCTTGCCAACCTGGAATGGGCGTGTCGAGACTATCCGATTGGGTACAGTTTTTCATACCAAGGAAGAAGCCCGGATTGGTATTAATGCCTGGAATGTTGAGAAGCTTAGGGCGGTCCGGACAAAAGATTCCAACAATAAGTCGTTTAAAGTTGTGTGCAGATCAGATGAAGTTGTACCATGTATATGGAAGGCCCGGGTGAGTCTTAACAAACGGGATCACGGCATGTGGGAGGTAACCGAATGGACCGATAGCCACACTTGCATGCAGGTGTTCGAGAGAAATGACCACAAGAATGTGACCGCCACCATGATCTCAAATCTTCTGTTGGTTAAGATTCAGAAGTAGGTGACCTACAGTGTGGAAATGGTCCAGGCCGACGTAAAAAGTGCCTGGGGAGTCGATGTCAGTTACAAGAAGGCGTGGCACGGGAGAAAAAAAGCCATTGATCGTCTGCATGGCACGTGGGAATCGAACTTCGCACAACTCCCCCAGTAAGCAAAAATTAATTATAAACGTATTTACGTGTTGTTTGTAACTATATTTATTTATTTATTTATTTATGGTTACTTTTTATAATTTGCAGGTTTTTCGCCGCCCTTCAAAGGGCGAATCCCGGTACAGTCGTTGAGTGGGAATGGCAGGGTGGAGAAATGGCGAAGCAATCTCGAGACAGAGAATTCAGATTTGTCTTCTGGGCGTTCGGCCCCGCCATTCAAACCTTCCTTCGTTGCCCCCCGATTATTAGCATCGACGGCACGCACCTGCGAGGTTCGTACAAGGGGAAACTACTTGTTAATTGCAAATTAATATTTTATTTTCTAATTTACAATAGTGTCTGATTAAAAAAAAAAACATATGTCCAACTGAGCAGGTTCGTACAAGGGGAAGCTGCTTGTTGCCATAGCACAGACCGCGAATAAGCGTCTATTGCCAGTCGCGTATGCGATTGTGGACGAAGAAAGCACGGCTAGCTGGTCCTTTTTCCTAACACATCTGTGCCATCATATCGTCCCCGACAGACCGATATGTCTTCTTTCCGACAGGGACAACGGCATATTGAGTGCCGTTGAATTACTGGAGACTTGGCACGAACCCCATGCAATTTCATCGGATATGCCTTCGACACCTCCGGAGCAACCTGTTTTCAAGGTACCGGAATAAACAAGTCCGGGGTTTGTGTTGGAGGTTGGGTTCACTGTGTTCTCGCCGCAAATTTGAGCAGAGTCGACAGGAACTCCATGAATGTAACCCGGACGCATACGATTACCTTTTCAAAATTGCTCTGGAAAAGTGGACCCTGTACAAAGATGGAGGACGTCGATGGGGCACTCTGACAACGAATATGTCAGAGAGTTACAACAATGTCCTCAAAGGTATTAGGTTCCTGCCCTGCAGAGCGTTGGTACAGGCCACATT